AATATTTAAAGTGTGCTAGTAAGGATATTTCGATTTAGCATTGCGTCAGGAAAAAAGGCGGAGGGATTTGAAATGGGTATCAATTAAGACAGACGGAAGTCGGAGAATGGGCAAAATTGGAAACTTTGCGGTTAGCGCTTGTCGATTAAAATTCCGGGTCTTTTTTTTTTAAACGCCATTGTTAATGCGAAAACTGACTTTGTGTGATACAAGAGAATATTGGATTAGGGCAAGTAAAATATGAGAAGCAAATGTAAATGGGAAAGGAATTTAGAAATCTGAAGAAAATGCCACATATAGAAGGCAAGCATGAGGAAAGTTACAAAGATATAGCAATAAATGAATATAGGGATGACGTTTAGCAATCCAATATTACGTGTTAGGGAGAGTAGAATGAGATGTATTCGCTATGCAGGATAAGATTCGTGTATGAGAAATTCTAAATATTTCATGAACCACAAGACTGAGAATTTATTTATATATAAGAATTCATTGTCTCTGCCCAGTAATATCCAGACACAAAATAATAAAAAAAATTATCTTACGCGATAAAGAGTTGACTGCCACTATACATAGTGGCTGTCGACTCACAAAGCGAGTATGACCATCACTGATATATCCAGTACATCAGTTAAGCTCTCCCCACAACACTGCATTCATTTGTTGTGTGAACAGCAGTAGCTCATAAAACCAGCTATCGATCTGCATTTTTTGTTACATATATGTCATAACAAATAATCTCCGTATGGTGAAAGTTGACTTTGAACATCATCACTTCAAATGTTTCTTTTTATTTATCTTGTCAGGCCCAACCTGGACTTGCACACACTAGTGCAGGTTGGGCATTCAAAGCATGCCATTGCGAAATTGTCATATGCAATAGAAATCAGTATTTAAAATGTCGATACTGTCCATTGTTGGAGCGTAGGCACTAATGATTGTAGCGTATCGTGATCCATTCAGATGTAGACTCCATAGCAGTGTCACCATACATTAAAACTGACTCTACAGTGGCTTGAAAGAATCTCTGTTTGAGGTTGTCTAGTAGATCGGATTTCCAGATTACATCCATTTTATTCAAGGTGGTCTAGATTTTACTTATGCGAATTTTCACATAGGATAGTAATAATAATTATTATTATTATTGTATATTGTTTTGTCAATAGAAAAATCAAAACGTGTCCTTTCTCAACTAAATGAAAAATTTCTCTTCCTCATATCTATAGTAGCTGTCGTCTCAAAAAGCGAGTATGGCCATTTACTGACATGTCCAGTCCATCAATTACCCCCCACCCCAAAAATGTATTCATTTGTTGTGTGAACGACAGTGGCTCATAAAGCCAGCTATCGATCTGCATTTCTTGATATATATATATATATATATATATATATATATATATATATATATATATATATATGGCAAATTATCTTCGGGTGGTGGAAGTTGACTTTGAACATCATCACTTCAAATGTGTCTTTTTATCTGTCTTGTTAGGCCCGACCTAGACTTGCACACCTAGTGCAGGTCGCGCATTCAAAGCATGCTTTTACAAAATCGTCATATGCAGTAGACTGTTGGTGCTGGTGTGATTTCTGGTGACTGAGCCGACCTGTCTTGGACAGACATATCCTATCGCATTGGGTACATGGTCACGTTGGCACCTCATGACAATTCAAGGACCCCTTCCATACTCCCCTCTTCAGTTCTGCATATTTTCGTAATGCCTCATGGAAGATCTTGACGCCATCAGCAATACCAGCCCTACAAGAATCCCTGTCTTCAGCTAGAGTTTCCTAATTATCCAAACAAATATTGCACTTGTATAGTGACTCTTTAAGGCATACGATGTAACGATGTTTTGGCTTGTGTTGCGGTCTTTTCCCTATTTCCAATTCTCCATTCATTAATTGTTTTGGCATTCTGTGATCTGCCATACGAATAACATGGCCCGTCCTTCACAATCTATATTTGTGTATAATTGCTTCCACAGAGAATGAATTGGTCCTTTGTAGAACAACAGTATCAGGGTTGTGAGACATACAAGTGGATTTCAAGCACAGACCGAAGGCATTGTTGATGAAGACGTCCCAGTATCTTCAGATGTCTGCGATAGACTATGGCATATCTCACACGAATATAGCAGAGATGACATAACGCAGACATTATATATATTAATTTTTGTCTGCGTTTTTATGCCCTTCTGACACTAAACACGGAACTTGAATGCTACAAATGCATCGGATGCCTTCTTAAGCCTTAACGGTATCTCATCATCAATGGAGCAGTGGCCGTTGAGGGTGCTACCAAGGTATATAAATTTGTCTACTACCCAAGTCGACTACTATCAACATAAATTGGTGGCTCTATATACTGAATTCATATACACACATACAAGTATATATAAATATAATTGGGCAGAAAGCTTTCCTTTAAATATTTTTCGTTAAATATGGCGGGCATGAAAAATTTAATTAAATTTTTATTTCGTTTTTCCAGGGTTCTTATATTTTTTCCGTTTCTTGGGAGTGAGCGTCTACAAACTCTGTTCATATTGTCGATTCTATCGAGCACCTTCGGCCATTTCTTTAGCCATTTTCAAGCGGGGTGTTTTTGGTATAGTTAATTTTAATGCATTGATTGTGTGAGATGTATTATTTGTGAATTAGAGTAAAAACAGTTTTCCGAAAACATCTTGTACATCAAACAGCTCTCGCCCACCATCAATGTCACCTAATTTAACATTGGTAACGGGGAAGGAGGACCAGGAGTATCTGATAGTCACGGGTCAAATAGAGGAAAAGAGAGACAAGGAAAAGCAGCGCGTGACATACCTGACGAGCTTGAGCAGGTGGATAACAGAATGGGGTTTGGTGGGAGGAAGCATAGGGAAGGAACTCGTTGAGAGCTGCAAGGGATAGAAGGAGGCGGAGAGCCATGATCGCCTACGTCCTGAAAGGACATGGCACATAAAAAGAAAGAACAGAGTGCTGAAAGTCTTTTAAAAATACAAAATCGCCCACTCGAATTTCAGACGCTGTTACTATAATTCACAAATAATACAAAACATGAAACAAAACTAATAAAATAATAGGAATAATGAAGAGTGTATAGAGCCAGAGTGTTGGGATCAAAAGCACCATTTATAAGAGGGAATAAAATTAGTAATAAAAATAATAGTAATAATGAAGAGTGTATAGAGCCAGAGTGTTGGGATCAAAAGCTACAATAATAAGATGGAATCAAACTAGTAATAAAATAATAGTAATAATGAAGAGTGTATAGAGCCAGAGTGTTGGGATCAAAAGCTACAATAATAAGATGGAATCAAACTAGTAATAAAATAATAGTAATAATGAAGAGTGTATAGAGCCAGAGTGTTGGGATAAAAAGCATCAATAATAAGATGGAATCAAACTAGTAATAAAATAATAGTAATAATGAAGAGTGTATAGAGCCAGAGTGTTGGGATAAAAAGCATCAATAATAAGATGGAATCAAACTAGTAATAAAATAATAGTAATAATGAAGAGTGTATAGAGCCAGAGTGTTGGGATAAAAAGCATCAATAATAAGATGGAATCAAACTAGTAATAAAATAATAGTAATAATGAAGAGTGTATAAAGCCAAAGTCTTGGAATAAAAAGCACCATTTATAAGAGGGAATAAGATTACTAATAAAAATAATAGTAATAATGAAGAGTGTAGTGCGCCAGAGTACTGTGATAAAAAGCAACAATAATGAGATGGAATCAAACTAGTAATAAAATGAGAGTGATAAAACTAGAATTTAAATTAAAATAGTGAAAGTGTTTGCTTGTAAAAAAATCGAAACAATAAGAAATAATATTTTCAAGTATGTATATTTATTTATTTATTTTGTTTTAAATATCAAGAGAATCGTTCGTGAATTTTATCTTTACTATAATAAAGATTTCCGTTTCATATTTCCTTAAACTTGTTTTCAAATGTCTTGTTATTTGTCTCCAAATTTTACAACTTAAAATCATTTTTTCCCTTTTAATTAAAATATATTTCCTAGTTGCGGATATGTTAATGCTTATATTGTTGAACTATTCCGAAACTGCGTTTGAAGTAAACATTACAAATATTCAAGTTGTTTTGAGAAACTACATAAATTTTTAAAACATTTTTCAAGGTTGCAAAAATTTCGCTTTAAAATCTGTGATCTTTTTCAAACTTTTCAACAGAGTTTACGACATTTTCTTGTTAAATATTTTTTACAACTCCAAATATGGTTATTTCTTTGTCGACGTTATAATCTAGCATTTTTTCTTTTCTGTCACCTGCCGTTTCCTTGTATCTAAGAAAAATTAGAAAATAAATACTCTTTCTTCAGTTTTACTAAAATCCGAAACATTTTCTATATTTTACATTTTTTTTTTTTTTTGCTATTGTTACTTTATAATATTTATCTTGAAAAAATACTTACATCTTTGGTAACTTGTATTGGGGCGAAGGTTTGCAGGTGAAAAAATGGTCCTTGACATTTAAAAACATATCAGGAAGTTTTTAGAAGTAATGTTTCACTCGCGAATAGATATATCGACATTGTTACGCCTGGTTGATGTCTTTTATTTCCATTTGTTTTCCTTCCACTCTTTCTTAGCTTTACTGTGTAAGAGTAGGAAACAGGAAATTCAAAAAAAAGTTATTAAACATGGAGGAAAGTCAAAGATGTTAAAACGCTGGCGAGAATGGTTGCTATAAAGGAAGTCAACAGAAAGTCTGCCTGGATAAATAAGAAGTAATAATCAGATTTGGAGAAGTGGAAAAAACTGATGAAAGTTTCAGGAGGTAGAATCGAGACAATAAAAAAAAAGAAAAAGAATGATAAGAAAGGTAAAAGGTCAAGAAAAAAGAAGTAGAAATGGAGGTAGAAATACATTTACAAAAAAAGAAATATATATGAAAAGCTGAGTGGAATATTGTAAAGACGTATAAGTATCGAATATATAAAAGGATTTTACATGTATGCTCATGTGCGATATATCTATCTATCTATCTATCTATCTATCTATCTATCTAATAAAATCACGATTTATTGATGTACGTAAAATTATATAATTTAAGATATGTCAAGGAGAAAATGAATTTATCAATAACCTGCTCGTTAGATATCTAATGCAATAATAAATTTTCAACCATTTTTGATAAAGTATTATATATATATATATATATATATATATATATATATATATATATATACACACATATATATACATATATATATACACACATATATATATATATATATATATATATATATATATATACATATACATATATATATAAAATATATATATATATATATATGTATATAAATGAAAATTGAAGTCAACACTTAGAGGCGACAGGCTGTATCATGCTAGATTGCTTCTAGCATGTAACAGCCTGTCGCCTCTAAGTGTTGACTTCAGTGTTTACTTTTTATATTTATACACGTTTTATCTCTGATATCGAGCACTTTATCCCATAAGTATAGCAATATATATATCTCAAGAGTATATTTCTTCATATATATATATATATATATATATATATATATATATATATGCGCGTGTATGTGTGTCATACTATCAAACAATATGTTCTGTGGTCATACATACACATGCAGACACATACGCACACACACACACACAGACACACACACACACATATATATATATATATATATATATATATATATATATATATATATATATATATATATATATAAAGACAAAAGGAAAAAAATTATCTTAGTCAACGCGTTTCGTCTTCTGAAAAAGGCAAAAACGAGGATTTTATTTTTACCAAGTATTTAAATAAAAGTGCAAAAATCGGTGTTAAAATGAAGTCAAAAAGCCATCACTGTTCTTATGGACCAAAACATCCAAAAAGGACAAACAACAATTCGACTCCTTTTCAACGGTGAACTTTAAGGGTGGATGAACAGAATTTAGTATATATATATATATATATATATATATATATAAAATTGAAAACCTAAGATTTAAAAGAGAAACAGTAATTTGAGTAATTTTACCCATAAATATAGCATAATTTAAGACTATATATTTATCATGTTACGACCTGCGTCTGCTATTCCGAACCTGTTATTGTCCCTTAGCAACCTTCTATGTCAACGTAACAGAATATCATCTTTGATAGTTAATATTTTTGTTTAAATGTCCGCATAGCTACTCTGAAGATGGCTTATATGAGCCGTAAGCTTAGATCAAAACCAAGGTTAATCAAAAATATTGGACAATTTTTGTTTTTATTTTCACACGAAATTAAAGCAACCATACGAAATTAAAACGGCTCATGATAAGACATAATAGACATTTATTGTCTGTTATTTTTAACAATATATATATATATATATATATATATATATATATATATATATATATATATATTGTTACTACAGAAATGCATTGTTTAAAAAGTCATCCTACGATTCACACAAAATACTTAGAGCATTGCTTCCCATTTTTCCAGCATACGGATGCGATTTCCTAAAAGCATCTGCTGAAGAACTAGAAGTATTGTAAAAAATAACCACTAAAAAAAGCCAGAACTGCTGGAAAGCAACTCCACAAAAAAGTACCCTGTAACAAAACCGGAAATGGCCCAACTTCACCAAACTATCAACTGAAGACACACACACGCACGCGCGCGCGCGCCCACACACACACACACACATATATATATATTTATATATATATATATATATATATATATATATATATATATCAAATTGGGTATCTGGCAGTAATACCTCTTTTATACAAGTTACATTAAAGACAACTGAAAAGGTATTGTATTTAAGTCTTTTATTTAATTTTCCTTTGTTCATATCAGTTATTTTTTCTTTCCTGAACATAATGTGTGTAAAAATTGACCGAATATTTTGTATGTCTAAGAACTTTCAGCTATGCTTTCAGCCATTATCAACGATGTTGTTTTTATTTTTAATTTTAACTGAATGTGTAGATTTTTATGCATGTATCTAGAGTTGTGTGAATGTTTTTTTTTTATTTCCAAACACGGTTAGAACGTTGAGCCCGTGTTCAAAGTTGATGTAATAAAAGCCAAGAATCAATAACGTCAACTATGAACATGGTCCTCTTTTGCCGCGGTAGGCAAACTACAGATATATCAATGTATCTATTACAGTAGAATATTGAATGAAAGGCTATTTTTATTAAAAGATACATAGTTGTTATGAAAAATACAAGCTTTGTCATAAAAAGCGTATATTTTTGCGTATGTATATATGATACATCGACGGAGATTTACCTACAAAATGATACAACTTGAAAAAAAAAGCATTCAATATTTTTTTTATAAACAAATAATCTTTGGCCTTTTGTGAAGAAATTAAAAAGAATGAATGGGTTCGAATGAGTTTGGTTTTGAATTCAATCAAACGCTTTTCTTTGCAATTAAAAGAACCAATCAAATGTCTTCAAATCGGAGAGAAAAAAAACGATCAAATGGGCTGCGAAGGAAAGTCAGTAATAAAAACCACTTTATCGTAAAATTTTAATTAAATCCTTATTTTGAAATTGTGAGATTCATGATTAGAAACGTGGAATTGAAAGCTTTTCATTAAATTTCTCTTTTGGAAAACAATTCACAGGCAGCAAGTTTTAAAAGTTTCAGCTCATTTATTTGATGGTTTGAGAGTCTTTCCATGAAATATCTATCTATCGATCTCAATCTGTTCGTATGTATGTATCTATCTATCTATCTATCTATCTATCTATCTATCTATCTATCTATCTATCTATCTATCTATCTATCATTCTTTCTTCATATCTATCTACATTTTTTGATATGCATCTATCTATCTGTAATTCTTTATATGTATTTATTTTTCTTTCCTATCTATATTTCTTCATATGTATGTATGTATGTATGTATCTATCTCCCCCCTCTCTCTCTCTGTCTCTCTCTCTCTCTCTATATATATATATATTTCTTCACACCTACCTACATTTCTTCATGTCTGCTCATATCTCCCCTCTTTCTTTCTCTCTCTCTCTCTCTCTCTCTCTCTCTAAAAATATATATATATATATATGTTTGTGTATGTGTGTGTGTGCGCGGGAATGCTCACTTATATATAAAATACTAGTAATAAATTATTTCTTAAAAACGCACACGATAATTCGTCATTTCATCCCTTTTTCCTTAAAAAAACTCAATAATGTAATACAGACTGTGGTTATTCAAGGTTTCCCTACCTCATCGACAACCAGATTAGACTATTTCTTTCTAAAGTAACTAATAGCAATACTGAACATACAGAAAAAAAAAACAATAACATTAACATCTTCTATAAAAGCCAAATACATGTTTACTATTAGCAAGACAAGTTTTCTCTTAGAAATATCATAAAGAAATATACAATCCCAGTCGATCTGAATAAGAAAATGAAATTATCTATTACAGAAAATTTAAAACGACTAACCTCATCATCAAATACGTACCCTCAAAATCAAAACTACAAAGAACCCACATTATTTACGAGTTCAAATGACCCTTAAGAAGCAAATCAAAGACATAAATAATTAAATTAGTCATACTACGACATGTTACACCTACCCGAACATAGATCAATTAGAACTGATTTAAACACACATGAAAACCTTCCAAACTCTATCCGAAATATTCTAGTAGAAAATACAAGTTTAATAGCATCAGCCACATGCGAATAAAGAGTAAAAATAATGGAAGACCTAATAATAAAAAGGAAAAGCCAATACTCAATAACATTAACTACGAACACGGCCACAATGTTCTGATCGTATTTTGAAATTAGAACATTCCTATAACGTCAGACACAAAAATAAAAACCCGTACATTCAGTTAAAAATAAAAAAATAAAACGCACTCTTGATAATGGCTAAAAGAATAGGCACAATTGCTCGGATACTTTAGGAAGTTTTTACACAATTTGTGTTTAGAATAGAAAGCACTTGTACGAGCACTAAATTAAATCAAAACTTTAATCGCAATACCTTGTCAATCGAATTTAATGAAGGATGTACAAAATAATTTTTTTTCATATCTATCTACCTATCTACCTATTTTTCTACCTGTCTATCTATTTATGTAGAATTAATATAAGTTACAGTTTATCACTTTGTTGATTGATATTACATTCAGCATCCCTCTATCGTCATATCTATCTATATTTATTTACATTTATTTATCTATCTATCTATGCTAAAATTAATTCCATGAATTCCTTCGATAGCTTGAAGATTTCCTTTTCTTGCATCGGATTCGACGTATTGCCAAGTAGTGTTACATCGAGTCGACAAAATGTTCGTCTGAAAATGACAGGTCTGGAAAGACGCCGAAATCTCAACAGGAAGATTGAGATTTTTGCGAATAAATTCCTTGGGCGATTTCCTTGCTATGAAAAGTAAAGATTTTCCTCTTTAATAGAACATTCATTGGAACCAAATATTTATGGTAATGTGGATAGTAAAATGTGTCCATCCCCCAATCATTCTTCCACACAATTCAATTTGAACATTGTTAAATACAGAAAAATTGCATATTTTGTTATTTTGACATAGAAGATTGCTATGCGACATTAACGGTCGCGAAATCGCAGAAAGGCTCATTATTAATTTTTCTGATCCTAATTCTTCCACATTCCTTGTGTTTTAATGGCATTACTGTCTTTCATGGGGTTGTACCGATTTATATATATATATATATATATATATATATATATATAAAGAAAGAACAGTAAGATATATAATCCGGTGTTCTTATAGATATTTTTATTTTAACAAAATAGTGCTCAATGTAAATTTACAGAGCATTAATATTATAAATTAATTGATTTAAAATATGTTTTTTTCCACTACACAGTTCTAACCATGTTTCAAAAATGGAAGCTAAAGGCTCAGAATTTAATTTTGTAATTAAATTAAAGACATTAGTTCCATTTCATCCTCAAGCGAATTTTGAAGTAACTTTTAAAATTACTGGGTTTTAAAGACACAGCTAAAATCATAATTCACGTTTCCAAGGTTACAGATAAATCTACTTCAACTAGACAAGGGGTGTCTGGGTGTTCATTATGTCTGTGTTTTGATGTATCCTAGTCTAGTAAAAAAAAATTAAATTCTGAGCTTTTAGCTTCCATTTTTGAAACATGGTTAGAACTGTGTAGCGGAAATAATCATATTTTAAATCAATTAATTTATAATATATATATATATATATATATATATATATATGTGTGTGTGTGTGTAACGTGGATATAGCGTTTATAGGTATTGCGAGTAGATGTGGGAATCAAAATGTTCATGTGATTAAATTTTATGTCTCAAGCGAACTACATCATTTTTACACCCTCAGCAATTTTCAAACATGCTCTGAAGATCGTTTGACACATGAAATTGACAGCTAAGATGTTCCGTTGTCCAAAATCGATATCTCTATAAATGCTCTTTATCTTATACTGAGCACTCTTCTATAAATATGGGGAATTTTAGACAACACACACGCATATATATATATATATATATATATATATATATATATATATATATATATATATAGAGAGAGAGAGAGAGAGAGAGAGAGAGAGAGAGAGAGAGATGTAATTTTCCACCTACATCAAGTGTTTTCGCTTTATAAGCGTTTTTATGACAGATCAAATTTAACGCTAAAGAATACGACTCGTAATCTCGTCCACTCGAATCAAGTATCGTCCCTTCGTTTGCTTAGCTTTCTAAGTTGTTTTCAGATACAAAATAAATGCTACCAACGTCTTGGTTCCATCAAATAAAGAAAGTTTCGGTAAAAACCGAAACACTTTAGAAAATCCGAAAGGTAAACTAGGATCACGGTTTAATCATTTTCAGGTCCCAGAAGGCGATTCCGCAAAGACTAGAATCTTATATTTTAGACAAAATGACGTTATTTTAGGAAAATAACAATTACGCGAGTAAGCAGTAAGAAATGATCTTTTTTTAGAAAACAATAATTGTTGCTTTGGATAAAGGACAAAATGATGAATAGAGAAAGACAGAGAGAAAAGAAATACTGGAAGAAATGAAAGAAAGAATTGAAGCACTAATATAAAAGATAGGAGGTGAACGAATTAAAAGGCAGGTCAGTAGTTTGGGAGAAAAGAAGAAATGAAGTAAATAATATCAGCTACGAAGAAAATCTAAGAAGGAGCAAAATATATAAATAAATAAATAAAATAAAAAAATGAATAAATAAAGTATTTGATGGTGAAAGAAAACAAATTTGTGAGAAGGAAAAATCTGAAAATGAAAAACAAAATATATAAAGGAAATAAAAATTAAAAAAATTAAAAAAAAATGTTTCTTTTAAAACTAATGGAAAATAAAGTAGATTTTATCAAAATTAGTTACGTTTCAGATTACTATTTCTACACTTTCTTATGATGGTATCGTCCAATTCTATGAATCTTTGTCAACTGCGGTTTAAGTCGAATTATATAATAATATGTAAAAAAAAATACTTTCTTCTCAAACAAAATTGTTAAATTTACGATACAAGCTATTAAATTTTGCTTTATTTTGAAATAGTCATTACAAACAAAAGACAAAAATATAACATTTGCCTCAATTGAATTATTCCAGAGAGTGTAATTACGAGAAACATTTTTTCAACTGTAAATCGATACATTTAGAATTCTGTAATCTACATTTCATATTCATGATCATTTCTATCATTAGAATAACAGTCCAAAACTTACAGTCGGATCTTTAACCTTGTGAAAAAATGTAAACATAATCTAAGAAAAGCATTAGATAGCCCAAAGCTTACGTACTGTAATAGATAGCCTGGAAATTACGGTTTATTAGGTATTAGAAAGAGGATGTTACTATTTGATTTAATCAAATAATGAAGAGAATTTCTAATTGCGTTTAAAGGTAATATACGTATTTATTTTTTAGTTGAGGAATTTTCAACCATTATTTTTTTTAATCTTATCAATTTTGGTTAATATTTGTATCATTCGATGAATCAGTCACATTATTAATTTTTGGTTAGTATTTAATTTCAACTTCAATTCTGTTAGTGGAACCATTGACCGCCATTTTTATTAATATTTTTCTAGTATTTACTTTCATCTTCATTTTGAAGATATTGTCAACCATTATAATTAATTTTTGTCTAGTATTTACTTTGATTTTCATTTTTATTAGAGAAACCATTGACCACCATTATTATTATTTTTTGGATAGCATTTACTCTCATCATCACATTAAATTAACCATTATTTTTAATTTGTTTTACTAGTATTTACTTTTATCTTAGTTTTTTTTTGTAGATGGAGACGTTTCAGTCGTTATTTCTTTTGACAAGTATCTAGATTCATTCCGATGTTTAGGTAACTCGGCGTCGGATAATGCCCATGGAAGCTAATCTGATTGAACATTAACAACGATGTCAACATTAAATGTCGAAGCGAGGGGTGACATATCTTAGACTCAACCAACCTACTTTTCTCGCTTTTATTGGGTATATCATTATCATTATTTTTTTAGTATTTACTCACATCTTCATTTTCTATTACAGTGATTATTGTCATATATTATTATTAATTTTTGGGATAAAAGTGGGATAAAAAGAACGTATGTATCTTTCATTTAATCCCCACCCTACACCGACACATTTCCAGTACATCTGATTTTCCTCTCCTGCTCCGCCTCCTCATCTTCTTTGGAAGAACATGAAGGGCGAATACCAGTAGTTTTGGCTTCCATACCACAAGACTCCCTACTGAAATCAGTTGACGTGATTCTCGAGCAGCTTGAGAAGCTGGTAGAGAAATCTGGTGCTTATATCTAATTTTAAAAGCTTTCCTCTCATATCCATTACTTGTAAAAATTATAGTTTATAAATAAATTATAAATATTTTAAAATGGGGAGTTACTTTTCAATCACCCTGTATATCTATTTCAGTCACGGAGTTAAATCGCTATCACTTCCACAGTTTCCCAAGAGAATGCTCAATTCAAAAGGCTTATTGTTCCCCATTTTTTTAACACTAAAATTTTAAACTCTTTTAGTCAAGGTTCTATCTATCTATCTATCTATCTATCTATCTATCTATCTCTGTTCATATCTAATTATCTATCTATCTATGTCTGTTCATATCTATCTATCTATCTATCTATCTATCTATCTATCTATCTATCTATCTATCTATCTATCTATCTCATTCTGTAATCTATCTATCTATCTATCTATCTATCTATCTATCTATCTATCTATCTATGTCTGTTCATTTCTATTTATCTATCTATGTCTGTTCATATCTATCTATCTATCTATCTATCTATCTATCTATCTATCTATCTATCTATCTATCTATCTATGTCTGTTCTTATATAGATATCTATAGATGTAAACGTTTAAAAGTGATGGAATCATTTTGATGAAAAGAGACGAGTTCGCATAATGGCAAAAACGCTGTGCATAGAGTAACTCCCGCTAGATGACGGCAATACACTTCTTTTATATGATATTTGTTGACGCTCTTAATGTATCATCATGCTAAGACCACAAACTGACTACACGTAAATACTTTTAAAAAATCATTTCACCCCAAGTAAGGCAATAAAGCCACTAAAACACAAGTGGTTACTGAGTGCGAAATAAGAAGAAAAGAAACATTATTAAGAAGCGAGAACAATAGAAGAGGAATCAAGAAGGCAGTAGATAACGATTGACATTACATCAACATTTTTGAAGATCAAATTTGGCTGAAAAGTATGGAGGGGAAGAGAATTACACAAACAAGAAGTGTGAGAAAAGTAACAGCATAGAATTTATAGTTACCTCTAGCCAATTAAACTGTGAAATGATGTGATCCCGACGCCAGCCTAGTATTTCGCTTAAATTCTATGTACCATAGAGGAGAGTTCATCCGAACAATTATCATGGAAGTATTTATAGAAAATACACAGGGAAACTACATTACGACGGTGGGAAAGTGACCGAAGCCGATACGTCAAGTCAGGACCAATAATATAGCAGATCATTCAAGTATCTCTAAATATATAGCAAGAGCACCGGACCATATGTAGCAGCAAAGCTCATAGGATGGACGAATGGTATACATAAGTATTTAAGATAGATTCTAGAGAGAAAGACTATCCTGCTCAGTGAACCAACTTTCGTAGCAGCAGACCTATCAATAGATGCATTATAGCCTTTCCAATTCATGTCAGTCGAGAATGTTAGCCCGAGAAGGAGCAAAGAGTCACTCTCCTGGGCTTTAGCATGTCATGCTGATAGGAAACAGAAAAGAAGTCTCTCAGATGATTAATGGAGAACAGTTTCGTTTTGGAGGCATTAAAATTAAGATGCTATTATTTGCCCCGGTTAACAAAAGACTGTAGATCATTTTTTAAGATCAGCTGACAATTTGACTTCAGAGTACTTGTCAGATTTACCTAGACATGTGTAAATGTTTGTGTTGTCAGATAATTATTTGGGAACTAATGTCATCAGGAAGGTCATTGATGAAAATTAAGAACAAAGTAGGTCCAAGGATAGAGCCCTGGGGGTGGTGGGGGAGGGGCTACCTACATTAGTACAAAAGGGTCTAGAAGAGAGGCCGTTCAGGACAAATTTCATTTCATGATTTGATAAGAAACACTGAATCTGTTCAAAGTAGAGGTTTATAACTTGATTCCTATTTAGGAAAGGATTTCTTGTTCCTTCTAAAGTATTCCCATTCTCGTTCACTCGCGGCAATTCTTGCGTCTTAGTGGCATTATCGTCTTACTTGGGGGTGAAATGATTAAAAAGTAAATGTCAAACCCTGTCAAACTCTTTCGAAATGTCCAAAGCGACTGCCTGAGCTTTCCCATTCTCATATAAACCTTGACAGACTCTTTTAGCAATCAGCAGTTAACCTAAAGAAGCTAAAGGCATATTGCTTGTCTGCTATGCGAGATAAAAGGGGTTTTAATAAAGAATACAGAAATACATCTTTCTATATTAATGTAAAAACTAATAATTCTGTCAAATAGAATAGTCATTGTGGAATAAAGCGTAGATGAGCCATTTCAGTTCAAAAAGAAAAAATGGGCGTGTAAACATATTTCTTTGTTTAATTTTTATATGTATTTTTGATTTTCTGGGATAATATTTCAGTTTATACATAGATATGTGCTTTCTGGTGCGCAGATACGATTTAATGTACATTTGTGTAATAGTGTAAATTGTCCGTGCCAAAATATATCTATCTATCTATCTATCTATCTATCTATCTATCTATCTATGTAGCTCTTACATAGATAAATGGATAGTTAAAAATATAGATAGTAAGAGATAAAAATAGATAGATAGATAGATAAAAAGCGAGAGAGATTGGCTGTCGATTCGTTAAACCAGACAGATTATAGCAACGTGATATATATATATATATATATATATATATATATGTGTGTGTGTGTGTGCGCGCGCGCGCATTATGTATGTATATTGAAATATATCGAATTTCAGCTGATGAATCCTTGGACACATTAGCAGAAGGCAAAATGACAGATGACAACATCAGGTGAATTATAAGCTATAATGGCAGACCGAATATCCTTTTTCATTTCATTTTAGGGATTGTTCTCAACGCTATCAGAATATTGAATGTATCTTAAACTGCCACTTAATTTTATTGGATACCACAGACTCGTTGCCCGCGATCAGGCCATAATACAACGTTACAAAAGAAACAGATGTTGTCAAATATGATATAATGATATTACCTATTGTTAGGTTACAAGTTATAACTTTTTCGTGTCCTGGTATTTAATAGTTTCAAGGGGAATAACCGCTTCTTCTTATTCAACGAATTTCGCATGGAAATGATTTTTTCCGATTTCTATGGGAAATATTCCCCATCGCATTTCTTATTTGCATGATTTAAGATATTTTCCATTTCATATATTGTATTACAAATACTGAACGGTAGTTTAGTGCTTTTGAATTGTGCCCTTGATAAATAAGTTAAGACATTGTTATCCGCTTACAAACGAGAAATTTCGAAGTCAAATAGCTTTGTAATCATAGAAAACCATATTAACCATCATTTATGTTTTCTTAACACACACACATACACACACACATGTATATATATATATATATATATATATATATATATATATATATATGGTATGATGGATAAATTGTCGTCTATATTACGCAAAAATAAAAATAGCACTGACATATCATTTTAACAGAAATATGCACCAACATTACACAAAAATATCTTGATATTGCAAAATGGCTAGTGTAGTGTAGTGTAACATATTTATGTTATAATTTTCGAATAATTATATATATATATATATATATATATATATATATATATATATATAAACCTATATAACTGATACAATGATACTGACATAAGGAAAATCTAGACATCCCTTGTTCAATTTAAGTAGAATATTCTGTAACCATGGAAACGTGATTTTAGCTGTGTCTTTAAAACCCGGTAATTTTTAAAAGTTACTCCAAAATTCGCTTGAAGATGAAATGAACTAATGCTTTTAATTTAATTGCAAAATTAAATTGGGGTTTTTAGCTTCTATTTTTGAAACATGGTTGAACTGTGTATGAAAAAAACCATATTTTAAATCAATTTAATATATATATATATATATATATATATATATATATATATATATATATATATATATATATATATATATATGTAACATATATAACAGAAACTTTAATGATGAGCAGAAAGGGAAGACAGTAATCAGGTGGATAGTAGACAGCGATTGACACTGCGTTTAAATTTTTGCAGATTAGAGTTGACTGGAAAGCATGCAACCGGAGGATGTTTAATAAGCGAGAAGTGCAAGAAAAGAAACAGCGTAGAAGTTATGGTTACATCTAACCAGCTCAACTGAGATGTCAACGGCAGCTCTAGTTCTGCTAAAATGATAAAATTATTGTCAATGTTTAATTTATATTAGTAGGACTATTGACTAAAATTTTTACTAACGCGTAGCACGTAGCGAAAGATTTTGAAGTTGAAAATTTTGGACAATGAACAATGTAAAATATTTTTTTTATTATTTTATTGGAAACTATTTTTTATTACTCTTGAGTGTGAAATTTTTCTAGTCTATTTATAATTGAGATGTGCACAATATTATCCCAATTCATATCAAGCGACTTGATATATGAGAAACTTGATACACGTGTTTTTACATATATGCACGTATATGCATATGTACATCAATACATTCCTGTTCACTCCTACTCAGTTACATACATATCTATCTATCTATCTATCTATCTATCTATCTATCTATCTATCTATCTATCTATCTATGTGAAAGACATTAGGAAAACTGTATTATTAGCCGATGCGTTTCGTCCAATGTGGATTTTTCAAAGTAAAAAAAACAAAAAAAAAAACGAAAATGAATTTATTAAAACATTCTTTCTCTAAACTCGTCATATTTCAGATACACAAACGACTCATTCCGTCTACCAGAGTAACCAATCCCATCTAAATAATCTTAAAATAATCACAAACACTTCCAGAACCCTTATGGATATACTCAGATACTCAAACAATAAGAGCAATAATATTTCTGAAGCAGACATTTATAAAATAAATTACCAAAACTGTTCCTCCCAAATAAAAAAAAAACCCCAAAAAACCAAAAAAAAACAAAGGCATCTATGAGTACAAAAGAGACCTCACAAATAACAATTTAACTAATGCTCTAGTCATTCATAGAAATAAATTCAAACACAATTTGGATTTTAAAAATGCTACACTCATTAAAAACGAAAATAACTCACTGCCGCCATTGAATATTATCCCAATATTAATCTACGCCCAGTCTTTTCCCCTGTATCACCTTTCCAAACAGAATTACTCCTCTCCCAAGCAAACACACAACTGTATCAAGAAATCAAATGAAAATGGTTAAATCCGTCAACACAACAATAAAAACAATATTTCCACACGTGATTGTACCTGACGGAATTTTCAGTTGGCAATATGAATACAATAGCGTTTTCTAATTCATTTTTTTGTTGTTGTTAATAATTACTTTGTTTTAATAAATTCATTTCTTTTCTTATTTTCTCGATAAAGTCCACATTGGACGAATCGCGTCGGCTAATAGTATAGTTTTCCTATTGTCTTTTACCTTTATAAATATTGTTTGGTTTGGTTTTGTTTGGTTTGTTTTACGGCTTATCAACCTCAATAATTTATTTAATGTCAACAAGATTTTTATTGCTGGTAGCTTCCATTTCTTTATTTTCAAAAATGAATAAATGGTAATATTTCTTTTTTCTTCAAAAATGTCTTACTGGCAATAATGTATTGCTGGTAATAATTATTAAAAAATGTATTACTCGTAATATTTTTCATTTAAAAATGCATTGCTGGTAATATTTATTTTCTTCAAAAATGCATTGCTGTTTTGGTTTGGTGTGGAGTATCCATTTTGTTTTCGTTTTCTCTAAAACGTCGCCGTTGTTCACATGTTCGGTCCATGATAACCTCAGCACGCTTCTGAACAACCACATTTCTGTTGCTTCAAATCTCTTCTTCATCCGTATTAACATTATCCAGCATCAATTTTTATAACAGTTCAGTACTATTTTATTTGTTTCTAACATTTTTTTTCTGATTCTTAATAATTTGCGTAGGCATCATTTGCTATTCCAATGTGCTTTCAGATTTCAGTGTCGCACATTACATCCTCTGTTAAAACACTTCCCAGATATTTAAATTGTTAATTAAAGAAAAATATGCGATCTCTGGTAGGATAATGATACATGTTTAATAAATAAATCGAACGTCTACACAAATATGAGTATCCACTAATAAAAACGTGACACAAAACTGTCGGGTTGATAGGTAAATTACGTTAGCAAAAAAGTATATATATATATATATATATATATATATATATATATATATATATATATGAATTTTAACATAAGTATGTTATAGCCATTTTTTTTAAAACTTCTGGTGTCTTTTCAAATGATGGTGTTGATTGTAAAATATTTTACAATTTATATCATGACTTGACAAGATACCAGAAGTGTTGAAATAAAATGGCTATTTTTGTATATAACATACGTATGTTATAATCATTAAGTAAAAATTCGCGCTACTTTGTACTGAACTCTTACTTTTTTTTAAATAGTGTTTTTGGTTACTGGGATTTTATTCCATCTATACCTATCTTGTATTCGTATATATACATATATATATATATATATATATCTATATATATATATATATATATATATATACATGAATTATTCACACAAACACTAATGCAAAGGTTAATGATTTAAATGGCGAGACATCCATCATCGCAAACAATTCAAATAATATACAAAAACCTCCGTATCCGTTATGAATGAAATGATCCTTGTTTATATAAATTTCTGCCGTATTAGTTCTTATTTTTACTACAAGCTTTCGTCTGTTCCTACAGACATCTTCAGGTATAGAATAGATGTTGTTCTTGTTTTTTCTCTTAGTAATAAGAGGACAACGAAAATATATGTATTGTTGTATCCGAAAATGCTATTGAAAATGAGTTACTGTTTTTGGAGCGCGCAAAAGCAACGCTGAGTTTGATTTTTAAAGGTTGTGCGTTCATATATGGTGATGAACGAATTTTTTACTGGTAAATTTTTCTGTCAAAGTGGCATGAACTATATTGTTCAATAATTACAGTAATGTCGCACTTATTATCCAAAAGTCGCACTTGGATCAGTTATTTAAATTACGATAAACGTGCAATCAATTTACAAATACATGAATTATTCATACAATATATATATATATATATATATATATATATATATAGAGAGAGAGAGAGAGAGAGAGAGAGGGAGAGAGAGAGAGGGGGAGGGAGAGAGATAGTGTGTGTGTGAGAGGGCATATATATATGTAGTGAGAGAGAGAGAGAGAGGGAGAGAGAGAGAGAGGGGGGGGGCAATATAGACAGAGAGAAAAACAGAAGTGAAAATATGTCCTTATATCGTTATCTCTATGGAATTAGCCACTATTCGTTTGTATACTCATTGCAAATATTCAGATCAGGCTGATCTTATCAAATGACTTATCAGATGAATCTTGACGATATGATAATCTTTTGCAATTGAATTTGTTATCTCGGCTGGATCTGCTCAAGGCTGGCTTTACTGCTTTAAAAATCGTTAACGTTGTCTTTTAGTGGATGATTAATTGCATTTATTATTTGCAATAATGTTCTCAAAATAATGTCAACACAACCTACTGCGGAGTGTTCATTTTGTGTGTTTAAGCGGATGGTAGAACGAGACAAATATGGTGGATAGAATAATATTTACTCACAAAATGCTGGAAGTTGTGGAGAACCATGATTGCACATTTTCTGAAAAGGCATGACATATAGAAAGGGTACATTATTTTGGTACAGTAGTCAATACAATAATATACATTTAAATCACCTCAACCATACAAAGTATGTCATATCACTTTTATTTGGTAGAGTGCACACGTCATTTAATGAATTCTTATAATAAAGAAATAGAGAAACCTATTACTGTCATGTGCGATATGAAATACAACTTTATTATTGACATGTTTAATATGTTATCGTATATCTAAACAAATGAATAGTGGAGTTGGAGTAAAACCGGTTTATAAAAATGCTAGTTCATAAGAAGAAAGTGAATAAATTCCTAATTTTAATTGACAGTAGTGTCTATCCGTCATGCTTGCTTTGTTAACTTAGTCAGCAATAATAAAGAAAAGGTGTTTTTATTCATAAAACTTCCATCAGAGTCAAAACATTATTTAATTGTTTTGATGACTCGGCTTCGCAAGTGATAAAATAACTTACCTTTTTTTATTATTATTCTACTAAATCATTCCCTGTATAATGGCGTTTTTCTTTTCATAAACCGGCTCCGATTTTGACAAAGAAACACCGAATTTGTGATTACACAGAGAGAGACAAATAAATAAATAAATAAATATATCAAGGTTGTTAGGTAGTTTATGCGGTGTTTTTCTGTGTACTTCTTGTTTTCGATATGTCCTATGAGTATCAAATTTTCCAATCCCTCTTTCTTATTATATGCCCTAAAAGTTTCGACTGTGTCTTCCTGATATACGGTTTATTGAATAAATGGGGTTTCTGATCAAGAACGTTGAAGGTCCGAGTTAAATCATTTTAAAAATAAATCCACATATTCTAGGCTTAAATAGTAATTGAGGCATTCTAAAAAGAGCCACGACTCTAATCGTGGCAAACATCTTTCTGAAAACTGTTAGATTCCATCAGTAATATAACACATGCGCAATAAATTCCCGCCAAAAATTATCAACTTGATTTTATTTAACGTTGAGAAAGGACAAAAGACTTGTGATTTTTAACATCTTTTCTCATCATAGTCTAAAGGCCTAATAATAATTATTATTTTATTAACATTAGTGTTGTTTTTTTTTCCCTAATTTCTCCATCGGCATCATTTATATATAGAGAGACAGTGGCTGTCAACACTGGCAACCTTCCAGCAACTCCTGCAGCCAAGCTGGTCCCAAATGTAATTACTCTGTATTTCTTTGGATCTTTTCCGTACGTGTGGATTGGAAAGGGGGTATGTGGTCTTGGCAGAAACCTGAAAAGGTCATTGCTGTATCACCAACCTGTGATATCCCAAAACAAAAGACAGCATTTTACGGATTATAAGTCAATACTGAACTGGCGTGGAGCAGGACGTCACGGATTGTCTTCGACAGTGGGAGCAATCACTATATTCCGACTAGCACCAGCCTCAAGCTGGGTAACCACCGAACTGTAGGGTGTTCACCCGCTACGCACTGCCTACTTCAGTGGGTGTCTGAAGTTTATAGCGGCTAGTTAAATAAGCAGATCGATAGCCATGCAACAAACAAACAGAAAAATAACAACAAAAAAATAATGAAGATTACAGTTCACTGTATCGCAAGCTGGAATATGCGAATCATACGCACCGGGTCTGTCTGATAACCGTCAGAAAATTGATGACTGTCGCAAGACCGCAGTGATCAAGTGTGAGCTAAAGAAACTGTCTATTTGTGTGGCAGCTCTACAGGAAACACGGATTCCAGACAGTGGATCTCTAAAGGAAGAATTCTACGCCTTCTGGCAGGGAAGAAGAGTCGATGAATTCAGGGAACATGGAGTCGCTGTCAGGAACATCCTGCTCCGTATGATTTTACCTCTAGCAAGTAACACAGATTATTCTCACCCTTCGCCTCTCTAAACCTTGTGTACATCAATGCACTAACATTTCAAGGCACGCTCGCAGTCAAAGACTAGTTCTACGCT